ATCAATTGTGTAAAGCACATCTATACATTTGTTGCCCTCATCATTCCCAAAATTCGCTTGCCTCTTGGGTTCCCGGAATCAGCTCATTTTCCTTTCCGCCCCCACCTCCCCCAAAAGAAAATGTTTTGACAATGATGATGGCAGCATGCGTACAAATGTGCTTGACACAATAGATGTATGTATGGCGTTTGATAAGAGTTGTAAGAACCCCCAATAAAATGATTTAAAAAAAAACAATGATGGTGCTATGAGGCATGACTGACCTCCCAGCAGTGTGGTCATGGGACTCTGTCCTATGGGACTGTGAGCAGGGACACAGCTGTCCAACACGTCCTCCCAGCTCAGCTCATGGGGGCCTGAAGGTTTGAGCCGAGGTCTGGGCCTTGAAGAAATCTCCTATCAGAAAACCTCTAAGAGGAGTGAAGTGTCTTCTTCAACAAGGGCACCGTACCCAGACAACCCGTGGAGACCCTCTTTCCCTCCCACTCCCACAGGCATGGGGGTGTCCCAGGGGCACAGGCGCCAGCAGATTCAACTGCGAGGCACATGAGCCACTACCACACTGCCTTCCTTGCAAGGGTGCCAGCTGCTGCTCCCACTTCCTCACTCACCACACACCAGGGCACCAGAAGCTGTCCTAGACAGAGCCTGGGGCAGCTGGCGCCAGAAGTCCTGGGTAAGAATCTTGGTTCTGCCAATGACCCCGACCTTGGAGAGTCCGTTCAGCTTCTCCAACCCTGTTTCCCTGTTTTAAAATGGGGACAGGACCACCTTCAGCCTCCTGGCCAGGAGTCCATGTCTCCCTTCCAAGGAGCTCAAGCAAGGAGCAGTGACACAGAAGTCCCAGGGCCCAGCCAGAACACACCATAAGGAGTTGAAGGGCAGATCCAGCTCTGAAACCTGTCTTTCTCTGGCCCTCTCCTGAACCCTGGGGTCCACTCTGCAGCCCCACGCTAGGGCTCGAAGGAAGGAAATACTGCCAGGGCCTCCAGCCCTGAGTCAAAAGCCCTGGGAAGAGGTGGAAGCTCTAATGATTCTTCAGGAAGGCATTGCCTGAAACTGTAACTCTTTTTAAAAACAAAACAAAGCATTCTTAATTTGTACTGGTTATTGGGATACAGAGTTTTCTTTGAAAATATATCATAACATGTAACCGGAGACAGAGAGGGAGAGGTGGTAGCAGGAGGGGCCTTTGGCCAAGAGCTCATGCTCACAAACTAGCTCCAAGATGGACTTTGAGTTGTTGTTTGCAAACTAGGGAGGAGCACAGAGCTGCTCCAGCAGATGGGGGTGGAGATGTCCCCCGCAAAGCTGGAAACTTGTGTCTCTCTCAGTCGGGAGAGCGCCCAATGATAACATGGGATCATTCTGCAACCTCACAACCAGTACTTCCTTCAACTAAATACTGTTTAAATATTGTAATTTTTATAACCTTGTTTAGACCTTCTTTCTCCTTCCTTTTCCCCTCTTTCTTCCTTCCTCCTCCTTCTACATACCACAGACTTCTTGGGAAGAAGAATATTGGCCAAGGACTATCTCTTTGGCCAGAGGCCCCGGGAATAGCCCAAGATTGTGAGCCAGGCCCCCAGTTTTTTGTCCCCTATGAAAGCCATCTGGCTCCCTGGCCCTCATCACACCAACCTGACCTGTGTGCCCATTTACCTGGGGCAAATTCTGGGTTTGCATCACCCTGGATGGGCTGGCAGCCCCCACCTCCAATTGCCCCAAAGATCTGGGACCCAGTGCCATCCTCCTCTCTCTGCTTTGCCTTCCCCGTTCACTGCTGTTCCCCCAGGTGCAGCCTCATGGTACAGCTGGCCCCTTTTCCTTCTCGACGTAGCCGCCTCCATGTGTGGCAGACAGGGAGCTGAGCTGGCAGCAGAGACGGAGTGTGGGGTGGAAGGGAGACGCTGCCTCAGGCGCACTGGAATGGATGCCAGCCCCGTCAAGGGGCTCCTTGTGGCAGGCCGGCTTGGCCCAGCAGCCTTTGCCCCCTGGGAGAGGGAGAGACCAAAGACCAGATTGGTAAGGGTGGAGTCACTGAGCAGCATGGATCACAAAGCAGGAGGCAGAAGCAACTTCCACTGACCTTGGGGCCAGCTGTAGACGGAGCCAGGCTTCAGACAAGGCCTGCCAGGCAGGATGTCCTGGATGCTGTGGTCCCTCTCCTCCCCCCACCCCCGCACCGCCTTCCTCACAATGGGGTTCATTGCTGAGGTGGGAGGGGGCTCCTAAGGAGGGTGCAGCATGGGGGCTAGCCTGCCAGGCAGCCCCAAGGTTCCTTTCAAGCATGAGCCTGACCACCTGGGCCCCTCCATCGGCAACGCACTCCTAACTCTGTCTGCTCAGCGGGGGCGTCAGGTCCTGGAGACCTTCTGGGAGCTGGTGCAGCACCCATCATGCAAGCTGGCACTGGCGGCTGGCCTCCTGCTGGGGGGCGGGAGCCTCATGCTGTGGATTCAGAAGAAGAGGAGGGGCCAGACGGCTGCTGAGTCACCCGCAGATTCATCAGAATCCCACCCAACAAAGAAAGAAGGCTGGATCAAGTCTCACTTCAGCCGCCTCTCCGAGGAGAAGCTAGCCAGCGGCAGTCATGCCGCCACCTCCACACCCGAGCTGGAGGGTGGCAGTGGGGAGGCCAGTACCCGGATCCGTATGGAGACCTTCACCTCCAGGCACGGGGAGGCGGGCACCACCCTCCGCCGAGAGTCCTTCACCAGCAGGCAGCGGACATCGGGGGCTTCGGGGGTCAAAGAGAGCCACAGGGAGTCCTCAGAATCCTCCTCGGCGGACGATCCCACTTGGGCTGCTGTAGCTGCCTGCGCCAAGGAGATTGACTGCAAAGGGCGGCACCTGGCCACCTCCATGCTCCAAAGAGCCGCTGTCTGCCAGCGCACCGGCCACCTGGAGACCAAAGACATCAACCGGGAGGAGTTGAAGGCCCTTGAGGAGGTAGAGCTGAAGCTGAAAGGAAATTTCCTCCTCCAAGAGGAGAACACCATCGGGGGCATGAACCACATTCACACCTTCCAGGGCCACGGTCCCTATGGCCACCACAGCCACCAGGCTCACCCCAGTCACCAGGGCCACCAGAGTCACAGCATGCCCAACCGAAGCCAACAGATGTATGACCCCTTTGAAGCCACCTGAGCAGCGAGATGCCTGTCCACCAGAAGGGCTGGCACACATACCCAGGCCTGCTCTCTCTTCTGGGCCATGCTTGGTGTGAGGCTGCTGCCCAAATCCCTTCTTTCCCAGCCCCACAGGGGTCGTGGGCAGATGGGACTCGGTGCCCAAGGTTGGCCCCAGAGGATGTTGGAAGAGCTGAAAGGTGGTGAAGGAGCCGAGACGCTCTGAGAGAAGACAAGGCGGCCCCCAGAAGCATCTGGGAGCCCCACACTGACGTCAAATGCCTGGAACTGAGCCAATAAAGCCGTGTGCACCCTCCCTGTGAGTCTGGGGCTCTGTGGCCAACCTCAGGGCTGAGCAGGGCAGGGGGCGAGAACTTCTCTCTCAGTGGGGTGCTGGCCCGGGTGCGCGCGTGTGTGTGTGTGTGTGTGTGTGTGTGTGTGTGTGTGTGAGTGTGTTCTCACTGGGCTCTTTTGAAATTCCTTAAGCAGACTCCTTAACTGGTCTCTGGTTCCTGGGGTGGGAACTTCCCAGGAGGTTATCTGTCTGAGGGGCAGGGGAGAGCAGCCACATCCCCCCCCCCGCCCCCCCGTTTCCTCTGGAGCCATGGGGCATCCTATTGCTGTGTTTTCTCCTGGCCCCACTTGCCCTATTGCAAGAGTTCCTTGGGGTCTCGCTGCCCAACCTGGTGCTTCCCAAGCACATGCCTTCAGATAGGTGTAGCGTCTCTAACCTTGCTCCTGCTACCATGGCTTCACCTGTAACTGCCTGCTTCCCCTGCTGCTATCAGCGTTCCAGTACCGACCACCGGCTCCCTGTCTTTGCCTTGCTTTGTGCTGAGTGTTAAGTCACAGCCCCACAAGGGAAGGCACGGCATTATCGCTGTTTTGCAAGTGAGGAACCCGAGGCTCAGAGAAATTATGCCGAGAGATGCCATACCTTGTAAGTGATGTTGCCAGGGTTAGAGTCTAGTTTTGCCTGACTCCAAAGCGGTTCCATTCCTCTCTGCCTGCAACTGCCCCGCAGGCTTCTCCGCAGCCGCTCCCAGTGGGGGCGCTCCCTCCCTCATCTGTATCCCTCTCCTCTTCCCAGCTGTTCTGACATTTCTTTGGCTTCATGCAAGTGGGGAGCTCAAACTGCCTCCTCCCGCTGTTTCCCAAGAAGTCATTTCTAGGACAATGGTGACCCCAAGTGAGCTGCCCCCC